AGATTTTTTTTTTTTTGGTGGCTGACTAGTAAGGGGATCCAAACCCTTAATCTTGGTGGTGTAACACCATGCTCTAACTAACTNAACTGGATTGCATCAAATGATTTTCTTCATATACTCAGTTCTGTTCTCATTATCAATAGCTACAGAGCCCTGCTTAATTCTGGGGATCAGCCATCACTAGCTAACACTTTCTGGCATCCTGCTCCGGATATGGTTCTTTTAATTTCCTCCTCTGCTAAATGTCTTGGATCTAGTTTCTCTTTCTTTCTCTCCTTACTCATCTCTCATTCACTTTTTCTTTTACTTTTTATGTAAATACTTTTGGTATAACAGGGATATTTCAAATTGGAAATATTTAAAAAATAAAATGAGGAGAATCCCTTCCATCTTCCAGTAATTCCACTTCTCAGAGATGACTATTAACAGTTTGAATATTGTTACAATCTTTTTATGTTTATATAATCATTTTTATAAGCATAAAAGAAATTATATCATACATATTTTTCTTTATGCTGCTCCCCTTCCCCCTGCCCCACCCCCACCCTGGCCTTTAACAAAGTTTCATGAGCATCTTCCCTTGTCAAAGCATAAAACTGGAAACAAAGCCCAGGATGTGTGGTAGTGGAACAGTAGGTATCCAAATTTTATCAAACAATATAAATTAATGTACATGCTTTGAATAATAGTTTCCATAAAAAGTATGCTAGAGAGTAAAACTGTAGATGGGAGAATTTGCTTTTTATATTTTTAGTTCGATTTTAAATTATTTAAGTAGTTTGATAATGCATTATTATTGTTAAAACTCAAATGATATGATAAATTGGGTAAGTACTATATCGTTTTCCTATTCTTGGGGGTAGATCTGTACTATAGGCCAGAAGATTTTACAGTTTTGGGTCCTATTTGAGAAAAAGATGAAATTACGAGTACAGATATTATGAATACAGAAATGGTCATGTGATCACATGGCTAGGACCCTTCAAGACCTCAGGCAGTGCCATGTAGTGAGAAGCTGTGAGGTGTGAGTCTTGTTGACTTCATGGTGGCACTGCCTCTGCCCTTCTCAGTTCTGCTTTTCTTATCCCTTCCAGGAGAAAAGCCATATCTGGCACAGCACTACACCTGAGGTTACCTTTTGCCCATGATTGCCTATAATCTGTCTTTTTTTATGCCAGATAGGTGAATGGAAGAGAATATAATGGGGACTACTCACAATTTCTTTAAGTCTTTTGTGTTTGTGTTAATTTCTTAATTCTTCCCGGAATGCCAAGTAGCTTCTTATTTATTATTTTGGTTATAGGTTCCACTTGGCCATTCCTAGCATGATGGTTCTTATCCTATAGGTTAATGAATCAATGTCAGTGTTCAGCTAGATATTAAATATATTTATCCAAATTATACCCTCAGGAACTCAGAGAAATAACCACACAGTGGACCTGCTGTACCCTGATTGAGACAAACTGGCCAGAAACTCCATATATCATTTAGTCTAAAGGCCCCCATCTAACCAGAGGATCGTGATAGCATTTCAGGCCTCTAGATCAGTATCAGCTTCTTAAATGCCATATCCAAAAGTTATCAGAAAGTGTGGATATTCTATTTTCCCAAAAACACAGTAATTCTGGTAAAATGGCTAAAGACTCATTTGAAAAAAGATTGAGGGAACATTTATCCTCTATCCTGTGGTGGTGTAGCATGTCTTTTCTCCAGGGCTCTGGTTCTGAAAACCAACTTAGACATACAGAAAAGGGGTGAAGGATTGTGATTTTCCTTTGCAGTAGCTCATCTCATCCTTGTGTCACTAGCTTTCTCTTTAGCAAAGGAACCTCTAGTTAACTGTTCATCTGCACTGCTCTTTGACACACATTGTTTGTTAGCCATCCCCAGCTCAAGGCACACTGACAGCCACTCCGAGTTTGCTGACCGTAAAATAACACACACCCGCCTTGCCTCTGACGTTTAAGTGCTGTCATCTGTCTTCTGCCATTCCTGAATCCCATCCATCCTTATGATAACTACAGAAATCAATTCCTTGGCACCCTCTCTTATTGCAACCATGGTATGCAGAGGGCTTCTGCCAAGGAGTTTCTCAGAGAGCTTTACTGTTGCCTTGGTGAATACAAATGTCTCTCGGGCCTTCCTAGCGAACAAGGTCATGTGGTCTTTATTCTCATAATCTAGCCAGAAATTCCCATTTTTTATCATCTATGCTTCACTTACTGTAGATTATTGGTCTGCTCAAGCTTCAATCCTAGGAGTATAGTAGTACCGGCTCCACGTGTCCTTGACAGAGTGCTGAGCCCTGAGGCATCACGGGTAAGACCACCCATGCCAATACATAGTCCCCAATCTGGCCTTAAGTTGCAGCCTTCTGCTCCAATACCCTCAACATCATTCCCTCATATGTTCTACCAGTATTAGCTGGTAATAGTCAGGTCCTGTAATTCCTGCAGTAGATAATCTGCAGCTGCCCAAGGCAGGCACTATTATTTTCCCCTTTAGCTGTACTGAGATACGACTGGGTAATTTCCCTGGAAGCAATGAAAGATGATGAAGGCTAATCTTAAAAGAAGGACACGCTTCACCTTGTGATGTCTTTGGAGCATCTGTAAGTGGTAGGAGGATACTCTCCTCTAGTAGGGGGGAGGGGCTGCCTCTGCCAGGCAAGAGTGTTCATGAGAATCAGGGGGTTCAAGATTCTCAGGTTTGTCCACAGTATGTTACCATTTCAGGTCTTGGTGTCCCAATCTTTTTCTATCTGAGCCCTGACATTGAGACAGAAGCCCTGTCAATGCTATGCATTTATTTTCCTTTGCAAAGCTCTAGCTGCTTCCCCCCAAATTAGATATATTTTTATTTTTCAATTTTGAATAATTTAAGTTGAATTTTTAATTTCAATTATTATATATATATTGTTCTTTAGTATCTTTTGGTGGTTGGACTTGCCATGTTTGTAATTCCATCATTTACTAATTTCAACATTTTGGTAATGTTATAGTCTGTATTGATAATTCTAATAACTGAAGTCTTAGAAATATAAATCTGTTGTTATTTCTGCTGATTCTCTTTCATGATTATTTGTTTCACTGTGTGTTTGTTGATCTTTGATAGTGGCTTCATCCATTGGCTAGGGGACTCAATCTTGCATGAAATGCTATTTGGCACTTAGTGATAAATGCTAACATTTAAGTGCTTATCCAGTGCTAGTCCCTGGACTAAGTGCTTCTACACACATTGTTTATGTAATCTTTGTAATAATCCCATGAGGTAGGCAGAGAAGAACCCAATTAGCATATTTTAGTACCCACTATGTGTATGTTACTTTACCAGATGCTTTACATATATCAATTTGTCTCCAAAATATGATGTTGGTATTACTATGCCCATTTTTCAGATGAGGAAACTGAGGCCTGTGAAGCTTATTCAGCTAAAAAATTATGGAGCCTGTGATTCTAAACCATGTCATCTGACTCCTGAATCTGTTTTCCTATATACTTTGAAATGATGCTATTTAAAAGATAATCTAAAGGATATGTGGACTGTCAATATTAGTTTTTTCAATCTCCCTTTCTTTAAGTTACATCAAGATTAAATAATTACTCAGAAAAATTTCTGATAAATCAGTTAGTGAAGGCTTTTAAAGAAATATAATACAAAAGTATCCTTTTGATATTTGAGTGTGGTGGATTAAAGATGGCCACAAATTCTTCCATACTCCCATTGAGAAGAGGAATCTATATATTCCTTCTCCTTGAATCTAAGAAAAGAAATAAAATGCATCCCAATTGCAAAGAAAGATGATCCTACTTACAAAAAATCCTAGAAAACCCATCAAAACCCAACTAAAACTAATAAATAAAATCGGCAAAGTTTCAGGATACAAGATGCTATGTTGTTATTTCAAAACACTAGGAATGAGCAATCCAAAAATAAAATTAAGAAAACAATTCTATTTAAAATATCATCAAAAAGAGCAAGTATTTAGGATTAACTTTAATGAAAGACTTGCATGCTGAAAACTTGCATACAAAACGTTACTGAAAGAAATTAAAGATCTAATAAATGGAAAGACATTTCACATTGATTGATCCAGAAGGCTTAATACTGCTGAGATGACAGAATTACCCAAAGCAATCTACAGATTCAACGCAATCCCTATGAAAATCTCAGTGACCTTTATTTGCAGAAATAGACAAGATAATCCCAAAATTCACATTGAATTGCAAAGAACCTCAAACAGCTAGAACAATCTTGAAAAATAAAAATAATGCTGAAGGATTTACACTTCCTGATATCAAAATTGTCCAGCGACCTTATAAGACCAAGGTCAAGGGTTTGGTTCCCAAACAAACAACCCAAATGTTCACCAACTGATGAATAGATAAACCAAATGTGATATATCCATACAATGGTGTATTATCCAGCCATAAAAAGGAATGAAGTATTAATACATGCTACAAAGCAGATGAACTGCATGCTACTGATACATGCTACAATGTGGATGAAAATATTATGCTAAGTGAAAGAAGCCAGAAACACAAGGCTACATACTGATAATTCCATTCATATAAAACATTCAGAATATGTGAGTTCATAGAGAGAAAAAGCAGACTAGTGCTTTCCAGGAGCTGGGGGGAGGGGGGAATGGGGAATGACTGCCTAATGAGTACCTGGTTTGCTTTTGTACCAATGAAAATGTTGTGGAATTTGATAGAGCTGATGCTTGCCCAACAATGTTAATGTACTAAATAAAACTGAATTGTCACTTTGAAATAGTTCATGGTTAATTTTAGGTTATGTAAAATTTACCTAAATTAAAAAGAGATTATTATTCCTTTCTCTTTTCTTCAAGTAGCTTTTTGTATGTATATGACTAATTTAGTTGTAAACTATTTTGAAATATTTTGCAAAGTATTCAAGATATAGTTAAAAAAGAAATAAACAGAAAATTTCAAATGAATATAATTGCATTTCTTGTAAGGTTCAAAAGAACTTACCTTGATGGGATCCCTTTATTTTTTTTAGTATTATATATCCAATTGAGCAGTAGTTTTCTAATAATGTTTAGCAATTTTTTGCTTTCAGAATAATTCTTTATTGTCTCAGGACTCATATGCCTAAAAAAAAGAAAAGAACGAAAAAAGAAATCTCTAAACGTGCTTTAAACATTTTAGGATAAGTTTAATGCAGTATTGTCAGAAAGCAGGAAGACCATTTTGTGTAGTGATGATTGGGAATGAGACACTTTCATGGGCACAGTTCCAAGTCATGAAGTTGTAGACACAAGGTGGTACACAATCATGAAGTTAGGTTGTAGGGCTTAATCATTAAGCAGGGAGGATAAAAAATTGGAGATGCATGTTTTAAAATAGTAGAGAGTTCAAAGTTCAGGGAGAGAAAGCATACCGTGATTCATATATTTGGCATTAAGATACATGTGGGTTTTGATGTTGGATCTCCCATTGTCTGGTATAGCAATGGACAAATTACCTCATTAATTACCTCATCTGTGAAATGTGGGTAAAAATACCTATGTCAGGCTGGAATAATTAAATGAGAAAGTATGTACAAAGCATCCAGTCCACCTCATGCATCTTCCTGTTTTTTTTCTTTCACCTTCAGGGCAAATGGTCTGGCTAAAAAGACTACAAAAGGGTTAAAACAGTAACTTGGAAAAAGAAGTCAGTGGTCATAAAATCCTCAAAAGGACATTTTGGTAGCATTTACCCCAAGTTGTCTGTAGGTTTCTGCTGGCTTTTGTATTGAGACGACTAAGGTCTTTGTGCAGTGATTTGGTCTTGTTTAGCCAAAGCTTTTGGTTTTACTGGGAATTTACCTGCTGACGACCAGATGCTTTCATTGTCTTCATCAGAAGGAAGATAGAGCTCTGTCCTTGGGTATGAGGCCCTACCTTGTAATGTGGCTTAGTGGAAGGGCATTGGGACGCTAAGGTGGACCTTGTCCTTCCTATTGATCATAATGTTCTCACTCTGAAATGTGTGCTATAGGGATACTAATGTATTTGAAAAGAATGAAGTCATTCCATTCTCTATGATTCGATATGATAATGTGGTAATTACACATGAAATCTTGAATGTGTATATGACTTAATCTTTCATAATTTAAAAAATATTTATTGAACACTTACTATGCTTGCTAAATTCTGTGGATAAACCAAAAGAAAATACCAGTCTCTGCCCTCAAGTTTCCATCAGGCTAATGGAATAAAACATGCAAATAATAATTGTAGTACAGTGTAATAAATGCTGCTACAGTGATAATAAATGAAGGGGTACTCTGGACCCACAAAGGGGGGCATTTAATATAGTCTTGGGGAATCAGGAAACCTTCCTGAAGGAGTTAGTGTTTAAGCTAAGATCTGATAATTTCACAGGTTCCTATGAATCCTAAAATTCTGTGATGTCAATAAGGTGTGGTATTTTACAGCCAAAATTACTAAGTAATTCAGGCTCTTAGCTTTGAATTGCAGCTCTGTAACTTATTAGTCAAATGACCTTGGGTGAATTACTTAATCTCTCTGTGCTGCACATTCCTCGCTTGCATCATGAAGATAATAATAACACTTACAGGATTTTTATGAGATAAAAATAGATTAACACATGTAAATTGTTTAAAACTGCCCGGCACAGCATTCAATAAAAACAAATTATGTGTTCAAAGTATAATTTCTTAGGAAGTTACATAGGCACTTAGCATAGGTCCCTGTGCCCCTGTTTAAACCCTTCACTCTTTCTCTCCTTATACTTGTTTTTTCTGCCACAGGTCACCTCAACACTTGGGGCTACTGACAGGAATGATCAACAAATGGCAAAACAACCCCAAGGCAGCCCAACAAAGAAGCAGGTACGGAATATACGTGTAATCAATGGAAAATCCTCTAGAGGTTGGAACACTATTTTGCTAATCTTGTTATTTCCCACAGTGCGTGGCATTTAGCTCTGCACATATTGCAATCAATATATATCTCTTACATGTGTAAATAAAAATATAATATATTCCAAGATTTGTCTGCACTGAGTCTTTTCAAGCCTTGGCCGCACCCATTGTTGGCCTCCTCTTTGTGTCCACTTGCTCTGTGTCCTCATAAGCATACGTTGCTTCTGCCTTTGTAGAGGACTTACAGAGGAAAAATCAAGATAATGAGCTGAATTGCTCTATGCTGTTTTGCTTTTATGTTAACTTCTCCTGGACAATGTAGTGGTAATGCTTTTCAGTGTCATTTATTCATTCATTTAAAAACTTCGATTGTGCACTGTGCACCTGTCCTCTTTAAAGCATGCATTGTACTATTTCAAATTAATCATTTGCCCAGCCCTCTCTCCCAACTCCCTCAACTCCACTCAGTAACCCAATCATTTTATTTTTTTTACTTGTGTTGAATCATAATTGATTATTCAAATTTTGGGGGTTCGACATTGAGATATGTTGATCAAATCAATATTACTAGTATATATATATATTGTTACAAATCATACTTATTCTTTATGCCCCTCGTCCAATCTCTCCCCATCCCCCTCTCCCTTCTCCTCCCCCCTCTAATTACCCTAGATTTCTTCTCTCCTTCTGAAAGGGTAATGATTACTCTGTTGATTTGTTGCCTAGATGATCTGTCTAATACTGAGAGGTGTGTTCAGGTCTCCCAATATTATCATAGAGCAGATGCTTCTTTTGTCACTCTGGAATGGGTTTTGTGGAGAGAGACATCTTTTCTTTGGCCTCCACTGGTGACTCTCCTTGTGTCGATGCACTCCAGTGGCTGGCGGACCATCTGCATGGTAGTTGTGGCATCTAGTTGCTTTCACAGTAGCCATGGTTCATGTATATATACCACACTTACCTATCCAGTCATCTGCTGATGGACATTTATGTTGGTTCTATATCTTGGTTATTGTAGAGCTGTGATGAACATGGGAGTGCAGGTATCCCTTCAACATGATGATTTCCATTCCTCTGGGGATATACCCAGAAGTGGGATTGTTGAATCATGTGGTAGTTCTATCTGTAGTTTTTTGAGGACCCTCCACACTGTTTTCCATAATGGTTGTACTAATTTACAGTCCCACAAACCACGTACGATGGTGGTTCCCTTTTCTCCACATCCTTGCCAGCATTTGTTATTCTCTGTATTTTTGATAATGTCAGTCTAACTAGGGTGAGATGATATCTTAATGTGGTTTTGATATGCATTTCCCTGATGATTAGTGATGTTGTGCTTTTTTTCACGTACCTGTTGTCCCTTTGTATGTCTTCCTTTGAAAAATGTCTGTTCAGCTCCTTTACCCATTTTTTAAATGTATTATTTGTTTTTTTACTGTGAAGTTGTTTGAGTTTCTTGTATATTCTAGATATTAATCCCTTGTCATATGTATAGTTTGCAAATATTTTCTCCCTTTCTGTAGGTTGTCTCTTCACTCTGTTGATTGTTTCCTTTGTTGTGTAGAAGCTTTTTAGTTTGATATAATCCCATTTGTTTACTTTTCGTTTTGTTGCTTGTGCTTTGGGGGTCTTATCCATAGTCTTTGCTCAGTCCTACATCCTGAATGTGTTTCGCCTATGTTTTCTTCTAGGAGTTCTATAGTTTCAGGTCTTATAGATAAGTCTTTAATCCATTTTGAGTTCATTTTGGTATATGGTNTAAAAAGATATGAACTGAGATGAGGATCTGGAGAACAGAGAAGAGAGAGCCAATCTGTTTTGAAAAATGGGACTTCCTGATTAAGACATAACACATAGAACAAAATCAACAAAGACATAATAGTACAAACCAAACATTTGAGGTGAGAAATCAAAAAGGTACATGGAGTGTATATTTCAGAAAACATAGAATATCACAAGTGGAAAGATCCTAAGAGGTCATTCAGTCAGCATAAGTTTCCTCTTTTACAGGTGTGGGGAATAAAGACTAGAAAGAATAAGTCCTGTGTCACACATCATATTGATAATAAAAGCAAAACTCAAAATGAAGTCTCCTTCATTTGTTTTGCAGTTCTTGAATACTATATTCCTGAAATAAATTAAAACTCTGGAAGTGACTCAAAGACATGGCCTCATAAAATTTTTAAGCTACAAGAAAATAAAAATAATTCTACGAGCATCCAAACAAGAAAGGAGGCTGCATATAATTTCATAAATATTAATTTATAAATTTTATAAATATCACTCCATTGTCTTCATATGAATGTGTCATTAATCGGATGCAACTGTCATATTTTTTAGGTCTGAAACATCTTTATATATTTACTAATCAATCACTTTTTCTAGAAAATTAGGCTAGAAAATTTTCCTAGAAAATAGCCAAACCATTAGAGGATGGATTTCAAAGATATTTCTCTATTGGAAATGTTGTTGAAAATAATCAGTGAAAATAATCAATGCACGCCGGCCCGGTGGTGCACTGGAGAGTGCGCCGCTTGGGAAGCGTGGTGGCGCTCCCGTCGAGGGTTCGGATCCCATGTGGAGACCGGTTCCCACTCACTGGCTGAGTGCGGTGCGGGTGCAACACTGAGGGTTGCGATCCCGGTGCCGGTCCCTGGTGCAGGTGCGACACCAAGGGTTGCGATCCCATTGCCGGTCAGTGAAAAAAAAAAAAAGACAAAAGGAAAAAAAAAAAAATAATAATCAGTGAAAATTGTAAAATAGTATCAGCCTGTTGAAGAATGAAATATTTAAGAAAGCAATCTTTAAAAAGTTTGCTATTTATAAGAATAGGTAATAAGCATAATTGTTAGAACAAAACTTAAATATAAAATATGAATGTTAAAATTAAAACAGGAACATAAAGGTATTTCAGAACATTAAGCTAAATTCATTTTTGTTTTCTCAGCCAACAGGGCCTAGTAAACTATTTTTTCTTTCAAAATGAAATTATAGGAAGATTAAGAGAAGGGATATGTAAAAATGTGTCTGCTGTAAAAGTGAGTCTGTAGTTGGCATTTTAAATGAGAAAGTTATAGATACATAGAGAATTACTGATGTTTATAATATAAGATAAAATTAGATACACTTTAAAAGTTGGCTTAACATGGGCTGGCTCATGGCTCACTCAGGAGAGTGTGGTGCTGATAACACCAAGGCCCTGGGTTCGGCTCCCATATAGGGATGGCCAGTTGGCTCACTGGCTGAGCGTGGTGCTGACAACACCAAGCCANTCTGTGAAGAACATCATTGGTGTTTTGATGGGGATTGCATTGAATCTGTAGATTGCTTTGGATAGTATGGACATTTTAACAATATTAATTCTTCCAATCCATGAACAAGTAATGTGTTTCCATCTTTTGGTGTCCTCTTTAATTTCTTTCAGCAGAGTCTTGTAGTTCTCATTGCAGAGATCTTTCACCTCTTTGGTTATATTTATTCCTAGGTATTTTATTCTTTTGTAAATGGGCTATTGTAAATTGGCTTGCTTTTTTGATTTCTTTTTCTGTTTGTTCATTGTTGGTGTATAAGAATGCTACTCGTTTTTGTGTATTGATTTTGTATCCTGCAACTTACTGAATTTGTTTATGAGCTCTAAGAGTTTTCTGGTAGAGGTTATGGGTTTTTCTATACATAGGATCATGTCACCTGTGAAGAGTGAAAATTTGACTTTGACTTTTCCCATTTGATTGCCCTTTATTTCTTTCTCCTCTCTGATTGCTCTGGCTAATACTTCCAATACTATGTTGAATAGGAGTGGTGAGATGGGCATCCTTGTCTTGTTCCTGTTCTTAAAGGAAAATCTTTCAGGATTTCCCCATTCAGGATGATGTTGGCAGTGGGTTAGTCATGTATGGTTTTTATTGTGTTGAGATGTTTTCCTGCTATACCTAATTTGTTGATGGTCTTTATCATGAAGGGATGCTGAATTTTGTCAAATGCTTTTTCTAGAGGCCCTCTCTTGACAACATACTTACTCTCCTGTCTTCTCAGCAACACTTCCTGCTGCACCTACCAATACCTGGACTGCACTCTGGGTCAGAATCTCATTCCTGTATTGTCTCTGGTAGCTTGCCTAAAAGAGATGTTAATTCAAATCATTATAAAGCATAGATAACAATGACAACTTATTACCACCTTTATGGAAAAATATACTATGTGATAAAGAAGTTGAAATCTCTAAATGATCTAGTGTCTTTACAGAAACAATCTCTATCGAGTCCAGACCATGAGATCAGTGCAGAAGAAAGTCTGGGCTTTGGGTGTAACCAAACTGGTTCTGCAGGAAACTAGGGTCTTGCTAGATGTCAGGTAGGTTTCCAAAAAAAAATAAATGGAGTTCTGTGGCAAAGAAGTCTGGAACTGCTGCAAGTTGTATCCCTATCTTAAAAGTTCACAATGCATATTAGAATACTAAAGGTTCAGAGAATTCTTGCAGTAATATATCCTAGTTTACATCTTTATTTAATTGCTTTTTCCCAAATATTTCCATAATAGGACATTGCTATTATAAGGATTAAAGGAACTGCTACAATATTCTGCAGAACACAATCACTCACTCACTCCATACATATATTGAAAGCCTACTCAGCTTCAGGGACTATGTCTGATGCTGTAGAAACCACTATCTGACACTGTCTCTGTCTTCAGTGTGCTGAACACTGTTGAGAATCACTGTATAAGCAACCTTCCTAAACTGGAATGTATGATTTAACCAAAGATTCCTGGGTTCCACAGCAGGCATTATCTCTGTACAATCATTAATGGACATTAAGACACTTTTATTTTGGGGAGATACTAGAAAGCAACAACCACTAAATTTGATGATGTGGGATTAAAAAGTTATTTTTACATAATGACAGGAATTTAATAGAGTGACTTTTTTCTCTGTAAACATCATTAAAATACTTATGAAACAATATAAGATTAAAATATTTTCAGTATCCTCAGAGACAAAAATTGAAATTTTTGGAAAAACAAGGAAGCTGAAATTAATATGAATCTCGTGAAAGCTTAGCAACACAAATGTCAAAACAGCTAGATACTAGAGAAATGTTAATTCTTTTTTTTTTTTAATTCCTTTTTGTCTTTTTTACTGACCGGCAATGGAATCGCACCCCTCAGTGTTGCGCCCGCACCGTGCTCAGCAAGTGAGCGGAACCGGTCTCCACATGGGATCCGAACCCTCGGCAGGAGCGCCGCCGCACTCCCAAGCGGCGCACTCTCCAGTGCGCCACCGGGCCGGCCCGAAATGTTAATTCTTAAATGATTGTTTCTACCTAAATGTAAGAAGAATTTAGAACGTGGTTGCTTCCTAGAAGTAACTGTCATTTATTGAGCACTCTATCATACTATTGAATTAACTGATCTATGTATGTTTTATATAAGATTATTTAATCCTTGCAACAACTTATGAGAAATTTGTTCTAATCTGTGTTTTATAGATGAGAAAGTGGAGGTTCAGACAGTTCTACTTTTCCCAAGATCACATTAGAAACCCGGATATCTCTGCATTTAAAGCTTGTCCCCCCGCATTACATATGCTGCCTCTTCTGTGACACTGCCTTGTCACGCTGTGCTTTCTTTTCTGACGTGCAATCGTAGAGAAGATACTGTCTCAGTTAACAAGACACCATAACAGATTTAAATAAAAGCTCTGAAAGTTTTGAAAACTGTAATAAATCAATTAATATCACTGTTGGGAGTAGCGAACACTAGCATTGAGATTGCAGAAACCAAATCAACAAATCAAGATAAACATGAAAATATATCTAGAATGAAAAAGGATTAAAAAGATATGAACTGAGATGAGGATCTGGAGAACAGAGAAGAGAGAGCCAATCTGTTTTGAAA